GGAGGTTACTCAAGAAGGCATGAGGTGATCAAGGTCGCCATCATGATCGTGATGATCTTGTTATGTTTCGAATGTACTCAGTAGTCGACATTCTACCGCTGTTGAGATCAAGCAAAGATTTCAACAAGGTCATTGTTAATGTCAGTTTACGCACAGTATGACTTTCAGAAGTTGGATTAATTGCGAGACCGCCTACTACAGGTCCAACACTTCTGACAAGGCACAGAACAGGTCGGTTAGGTTTTTGTAGCATTTTGAAGTTTCAAAGTTGTTTGAATGACGGTTTTAAGTCAAACAGTTTTAACAAATCAAGCGTATAGGGCCAGGGTGCTTACCATTCCCAGAACAACAGTCCGAAGGCATGGATCAGGTCGCTATCATGTCACATCTTAGAGAAATGATCGTTTTATTTGTTTCCGATGTACTCCGTAATCGATAGTCTACCGCAGTTGAGATCAAGCTACGACTTCAACGAGTTAAAAATATTAATGTCAGTTTACGCACTGTGGGGCAAAGACTTTCAGAAACTGGATTACGTGCGAGAAGGCCTGCCACTGGTCCAAATCTTGTGATAAGGCTCGGTTAAGTTTCGCAAGAAATAACATCAATTGGAGCAAGATTGGGCTAAAATTGTGTTTTCAGATGCGTCAAGGTTTTGGTTGTGGTGTTCGGACGGCCGAGAGAGGGTATGGAGAAGAACAGGAGAGCGATATATCCTTGCAACATTTTCCCCTCCGGAGAAGCTATGGAGATGGTTTGGGCAGGTGATTTCTGTGGAAGTTCGCACAAACTTGATCTTCAACGAGGGTTCCCAACAACTGCGCGATACATTGAAGACGTGTTATCAGAAGAAGTTGCTTTTTATATGCCATTAATGGGCAAATGTTTTATTTTTATATAATGAAAGGCCCAACACAGGTAGGATCGTTGCTGACTACTTGCAATAGGCTTCAACTCAAAGTTTGGAGTGATCAGAAAGTAGACTTAAACGCTATCGAACAACTTTGAGACGTGTTGTCAAAGAGCGTAAAAACCGCCCAGGGATGCCAGAGAATTTGCAGCGATTAAGAATGGCGCTGTTAAAGAAGTCTGAAAATATTCCACAGCACTACATTTAAAACTTAATAAAATCGATGCCATGTCGGATGCAAGCGGAGGAAATACTCCGTAGTGATTCATTATTTTCTTCTTTGTTTCCATTACAAGATTGTTTTACTCGGTTTAATTTTTGTATTTATGTTTTCATTTAGTTATAGCTTATATTTTTCTTTGAAAATATCCAGTAAACAACAAAAAGTAAAAATTACAACGAATGCAAGTGTTCACTAAATACACGAGGGTGATCCCTTTTTTTGTCTTTCAGCGTAGTTAGGCTAGAAGATTTGCCGGCTAGCACAGCTCATTAATAATAGGGTTTAGCAAAAGTCTGTGTTTTCTACGAAGTAAAACGAGAATAGCCTGAAGCTACGGACGAAAAGATAGGCTGTTGGCTTTAATCTGCCGGCCCATCTTTGCGCAGGCAATTCAAGTCTTCAGCAGTATCAAAACAATCTATAGAAGCAAAAAGAACATTTAATGATGTTTACTTCTGAGTTAACTGGTAATTTGTTCAGATTTTGTTGCACTCAATTAAACGGACAGTGCCAAACAAAAAAACGATCACTTTGCAATATGATCTCTACAAATATCCTAAAAATTTTTAAAAATTTCTGTAGACCTATTTGTTATCTGATAAATTTAATTAATTTAATAAATTACCTCATACACTTAAGTTTTTGAAGGTAACTTCCTCCCATTTTTTGGCCCTTGTGTTAGCAATTAGCAGAAAGAAAACTATGTACCTAGTCCTGCCATAAGTTCTGTTACAAGAAAAAGGGCCATTAGGGAATAGAGAAACTTGATAATTTGAAAAAGAAATTTATTTTAAAAAATCTAATATTTNTACATTATAGTATATATGTAATTAATGAATAAATAGCTCAATAGATAACAGATGTGCAGAAAACACAGAAAGATGGATCAATAATTCACAATAAATATACACATAATAAATCACAACGATTATTTGGAGATCGTGAGAGGAGGTCTACTGTGCGTAGGTTTTAGATAAACATTTTCTTTATCGTGCTACGTTTCGAACTTTTTGAGATCATCTTCAGGGCTCAAAGTGTTTGTTTTCCGCGTAATTGTGCCAATGGGGTATGGCTGTTTTATGTTAAATATTCTCAACACGACAGACAAGAATGACACAATTACGCAGGAAACATTTTGAGACCTGATGATGATCTCAATAAAGATCAATAATCATAACGGTCACTAAACACCACACGTAAATCACAACTATGCACCAAGTCCAGAATACTTTTATGAACGTCCAGATCTCTTATACTTAAGAGGTATTGTAATTTATTATTTTGTTACATTTTTCATCATGTACATTTCATTGGAAATTTACTTTATTTTTTTAAATTTTTTTTTACGAGGGTTCGCAACAGCAGAGGTTATAAAACCCTCAGGGTGCCGGTGTTTTTGAAAAAAAGCCCATTTGTAAGTATGTCGGTTTCGAATGCAGGACCGCTGGATTCGAACCCGCGACCTTTACCTTACAGTGATGAGCGCCGTGTCAACGCCTAAACCGACGCCCCCCTTTACTTTATTTGTATTCAAATTTGTCGCACTTCGTTATAGCATGTTTTAAATGTCGTCTTACACTCTGAATACAAATGTGTGGTGTTTAGTGACGGTTAGTCAATGATTATTCGGAGATCGCGTGATGCGGTCTGGTGTGATGTAGGTTTCAGAAAAACATTTTCTTTATCGTGCCAACGTTTCGATCTTTATTGAGATCATCTTCAGAGCCTGGGAATTATGCACATTGTTATATTTTACAAATACATGTAGGATGTGAAAAAATGAAGTTATACAACGCTAGGTATTTTAGATTAAAAAATAATAAATAAATAAAATGAATTTATGCAATGCTAGAAGATTTTAGATAAAAAAAAAAGAATTTATACAATGCTAGAAAATTTTAGGTTAAAAAATGAAGTTATACAACGCTAGGTATTTTAGATTAAAAAATAATAAATAAATAAAATGAATTTATGCAATGCTAGAAGATTTTAGATAAAAAAAAAAGAATTTATACAATGCTAGAAATTTTAGATTCAATCAAAGTATTTGTACTCACTCAAAGTGTTTGTTTTCCGTGTAAATGTGTCATTTTTGTCTCTCGTGTTAAGAGTGCCAGTATTATATAAATTTAAATAATAAATTTTAAAAAATGCTCATAATTCCCAGGCCCTGAAGATGATCTCAATAAAGATCGAAACGTTGGCACGATAAAGAAAATGTTTTTCTAAAACCTACGTCATACCAGACCGCATCTCAAGATCTCCGAATAAACATTGGGTACTTCTTCGTTGGTTAATCATGTATATAAAAGAGCCACTTAACCCCTTGGTTGCATCTCAATCCCTCTTACTGAATTTACTGAATTTAAATACACATATTTTAATTTAATTTGAAAACCATGGTGTATTATTAAGCTAGGATAACCGGAGTGGTAGAACCGACCTGCAACGAGAGCTTTTTTTTCCACTTTTCTTTTCTTTTATATTTTATGCCGTTTTTCGGATCCGAAGTTGGGATAAGATCTTCAAATTACTTCCCCATCCAGAGGAACCTGTTTTGCTCTTTTATCAACAGTCTCATGTTGATGTTTTTAGAAAAGGACAAAGGGAGAATGTGGAAAGCTATGGCCCATAATTCTGAATCGAGTTCTTTCAAAATTATATGAGACAGGTTTCAAAAATAAGCCATGTATTTTTTAGGCAAGCCTAAACTGCTTTCTCCAACTTAATAAGTGACAAAATAAAATTTATGATGAATTTGAAAGAAAAAAATCGACCTGTGAAAGGCATTCGATATTTTTACACTGTTTTATTAAACAAACCGCAATATTATGATATATTTGGGTTTTGTGAACACCTCTTGGCAAATCGGAGCAAGCGGTCGCTTTTAACGGAATGACCTCAAATAAAGTTTTAGTTGGAATCGGGATTTCCACAAGGATCTATCCTAGGACCTTTCCTTTCCTATTCCTAGGATTTTAGAATTGAATGAATTGTAACGTGTGGACACCATTTATTAGCGCGACTTGAGAGTCTTATTCTCATTTACCCCGAGGAATATCGTGTTCTCTGGGGCAGTAATAATAATATTTATGTGGGCTTCTTTCACTATAATCGAGAAGAATATCGATCATTCTGAGGCAGTGTGGGTGATGTCTGATGTGTGAAAGAATTTATTAGCGAGAATGGAGAGACTTCATGCCCTATAACCCCAAGGGATATCGAGTACTCTGGGGCAGTGAAAATAATATTTATTAAGTGAATAGAGGGGGCTTCTTGCACAATAGTCGAGAAGAATATAGATCATTCTGAGGCAGCGTGGGTGATGTCTGATGTGTGAAAGAATTTATTAGCGAGAATGGAAAGGACTACATGCCCTATAACTGCAATGGATATCGAGTTCTCTGGGGCAGTGATAATAATATTTATTAAGTGAATAGAGGAGGCTTCTTTCACTATAATCGAGAAGAATATCGATCATTCTGAGGCAGTGTGAGTGCTGTCTGATGTATGAATGAATTTATTAGCGAGAATGGAGAGACTTCATGCCCTATAGCCCCAAGGAATGTCGAGTACTACTCTGGGGCAGTGATAATAATATTTATTAAATGAATAGAGAAGGCTTCTGTCACAATAATGGAGAAGAATATCGATCATTCTGAGACAGTGTGGGTGATGTCTGATGTGTGAACAGGACATGAATGACTAAATAACACGCAGATCAACCACGTAAACCGTATAAAAACTGTAACCATCAGAAGTTGTATTTATGAAAATAATTTTGTTGCATATAAAATTTAAAATATTGCCCATTGTGCCTTCTTTTGTCAAAATCACTAATATTCGCCTTTTTTGTTCTTGTTTCAGGTTTGCATTCACACTGTCGATTATAAATCAGTTCTCGTTGACACACTTTAAAGCTGCAAGACTCTACAATAATTTATGCATGGCTGGTATCTGTAAGATTTTTATAAATTTCCCCGTTCCACTAAATTATACCATTCGTTTCTAAAATTACATTTTTGAATGATCGTTTTTGATCCATTGTTCTGCTTTGATAGTTCACCATGTTTATTGTCTCTTTTTTATGTGCTATATTTCATTTTTCTTTCTTTTTGTGTTTTTTGCTAAGTTAAAGCTGGGAAATGAATTTTGCCCAGGACAAAAAGATAAATTACTAGTTTAACCCGTTTTACCCTTTTTCACACCGTCCTTAAAGGACATTTTACCCTCTTTTCAATGCTTTTGAGGATTTCCATAAAAATGAATAGGACACGAGCTATCAGAAGATTTATAACGGAAATCGTAGCTAGATGAAAACAAGATAAAATGTAGAATATTTGCGATATATTTGAGAGTCGTACCATGGTTCGTACAAACTCTCTTGTTGTATTTCAGATGTAGAAGCACCTGAAGAACTTTGCCGTTCGTGTAGCGAATCACCCTGTATATTTTAACATTATCCTTCAGTTTTACAAAGCAATTAATTGCCACGTTATAATATTGTTCGCGTATTTTGCATATTCCTTTTCTTTTCATTCCTCGATCCATTTCGATATTAATCAAGGCTAGAAAAACTTTATTCAATCAGATTAAAACGCCATTTACGTATTTCCTGGAGTAAAGCCAAGCATTTTGACTCCCTCGGCAGGATTTGGACGTTCGTCCATGGTCTTTGTCGTCGATGAGGATAAGTTTTTGGATTTTGTTCCTTATTCCTTGACGAAGGTCGCGGGTGGTCGTTCACGTTTAACGCCTCGCCTCTCAAAGGATCCGCGTGAAACACGAATTTCCTTGAGATTTAATGGATTCACCGCCATTTAGGCGTTGCTTTTTTTTCAATAATTTTATTTTCATATTGTAAACTTATTTGCAAAGTGATATCGTTATCTTCATGGGATTAGTCGTTCATTAAATCTTTCAATATTAAGGAAATAATAAAATCTTGAATAATAAATAATAATAATAAATCTCGAAATGATTTTAAAATATTCAAAATGTTTGTTTTTTCTCTAAAAAAAAAAAAAAAAAAAAAAAAAACCATGTCGAGGTGATGTTCGTAAATTCATCCAAACGCAATATTGACCTTTCTAGCAAATAATTTAAACGCACAATACATAATAGAATAGAAAAGAAACTAAATAGTTTTTTTTCCGGAGGCCTCCAGGAAATGTCAAGCGTTTTCTGTAAAATAAACAAAATAACCAGTACGAAGAGAGATAAATCTTTAAAAAAAGTCGTATAAAAGATAAACGTGAGCAATTTGAGAGGTCTCAAAGAAAACTTCACACCGAATGAATGAATTACAAATATGCTTCTATTGAACTTTAAGTAATTTTGTACTGTTATATACTATTACCTGTAACTACGTACGTTCCTTGACGATCTCTTTCTTTTTATGACACTCATTTTACAGACTCACTGCCTCTCTCTCTTTCTTTCTCTCCCTCTTTCTCTATGTCTTCGTCTTTTCCACACACACACACTCTCTTTCTCCCTCTCACTCTCCCACTCTCTCTCTCTCTCTCTCTCTCTCTCTCTGTTTTTGATGCTCTCTCTTTCTTCCTGACTATCTATAACTCACTCTCGCTCTCTCACTCACCCACTCACTTACTTACCCTCTCTCCCTCTCTCATCACACTCTCTCTCTCTTTCTCTCGCTCTCTCACTCACCCACTCACTTACTTACCCTCTCTCCCTCTCTCATCACTCTCTCTCTCTTTCTCTCTCCCTCTCACTCTCCCACTCTCTCTCTCTCTCTCTCTCTCTCTCTCTGTTTTTGATGCTCTCTCTTTCTTCCTGACGCTCTATAACTCACTCTCGTACACTCTCCCACTAAATCACTATCTCTATCTCCCATGCACTGAGTCACTATTTTCTCTCTTCTCCCTCTTTTTTCTTTCTTATGCTCTCTCTTTCTCTCTCTAAATCTTCTCGCTCTTTCTTTTTGATGCACTCTCTTTCTTCCTGACGTTGTCTAACTCACTCACTCTCTCTCTCTCTCTCTCACTCTCTCACTCACTTACTCCTTCACTCATTTATGCATTCACTCACACTCTCTCATTCACGTACTCTCTCCCACTAAATCACTATCTCTAGGTCGCACTCTCTGAGCCACTTTCTCTCACTCACTCGCTCACTAATTATATTCTCTCTTATCTCTCTCTCACAGCCCCCCTCTCTCTCTCTCGATCTTTCTTATGCTTTCTATCTATCTCTCTCTCTTTTAATACTCTCTATATGGCTGTCTTCTTCTTCTCTCGCTTTCCTTATCTATCTCTTTTTGAAGCTCTCTCTCTCTCTCTTTCTGATGCTTTCTATCTCTCTCTCTTTTTTAATACTTTCTATATGGCTGTCTTCTTCTCTCGCTTTCTTTATCTATCTCTTTTTGAAGCTCTCCCTCTCTCTCTTTCTGATGCTTTCTATCTCTCTCTCTTTTTTAATACTCTCTCTCTCTCTCTCTCTCTCTCTCTCTCTCTCTCTCTCTCTCTACCTATCTATCTATCCATCTATCTATCTATCTGTCTCTCTCCATTCCTGCCCCTAGCTCTCTCTATCTGTCTATATATCTATACCTAGAATGATCCTGTCCATAGCCCTCCCCCCCGATATGTGCCCATTTTTAATAAACGGAAAAACAATTGTTTATTCTGTAGGAAATCATTTTCAATAAGCTATATCTTGGGAGGTTTCTAAAAAGAAGACAAAATTCCATATTTGTTCAATAATTTAAAATAAAAAAAACAGTTACCTAAATTGTGCAATTAACAAACCTGAAGAAAGGTTTAAATCCCAACATAACTATAATAAATAAAGCCTGAACAATGGGGTGCATCGTAACCTGCCATTTCTTGAATAATTAAATACTATTGTGCTATGGTTTAAAACAATTTAACTGAGACGTGATAAAAATTCTAATCTTCTTTTCACATGTAAATTGTCTTTTATCGATTTATCACAGATAGGTTGAAGGTCATGGTGAAGAATAGAATCATTTTTTGTTTCAATACCTACTACGCATATTTTATTTTGGGTACTTTCACGAAATATCAAGGCCGCTTTTTTTATTGGGTCCCCTACACCTAAAAATGCGACTATAAATTAGCTTGAAAATTAACAATTCCTTATCGTTTCCCCTTAAGGGAGAGATTTCTCAGGTTGTCCTCTACGGCAGTTATGTAATCCGATTGGACTACATGGAAACAGGAAAGCTGGACTACAGTCCGATGGACCGGAGCCCTAGGAAATATTTCCGAGCTTTTTTCCAATTCTGACCTTTCGAAACCGTCCCTAAGCCTCTTCCCGAAAACGCCGGCCATATTTGGCGCTGGGACGGCATGGTTCCGGATAAAAGGCGGATAGTTGTTTATGTCGTTATTACTTTATTTCTCTTACGTAAATTATTTGGGCTCACTTTCATTTTGGTCTCGTATTTTTGGACTGTCTCGTCATCTCCATTTCAATGGACTTTGTAATATCTGAAGACTCCTCGTGATAAACAAGGGCGAAACCGAACACCAACCGGAAGACTGGTCAGACAGTAATAAATATTAGAACAAGAACGACATTTAACAAAAAAATAAACGGTCCAATATACTCTCAATAACCGCCTATACTGAAATCGTAACATATTTAATTAAAAAATTGTAAGCTGAAGATTTTGGTTTTTTTATTAAGTGTTATTGTGATGAACTTTCTGAATAGATTATTTGGAGATCGTGAGATGCGGTCTGGTGTGACGTGGGTATAGAAAAACATTTTCTTTGTCGTGCCAACGTTTCGATCTTTATTGAGATCATCTTCAGGGCCTGGGATTTATAAACATTGTTAAAATAATACAAATACATGTAAGATGTGAAAAAATGAATTTATTCAATGCTGGAAATTTTGGGTTCAATCGAAGTATTTGTACTCACTCAAAGTGTGTGTTTTCTGAGTAGATATGTCATTGCTGTGTGTCGTGTTGAGAGTGCAAGTGAGATATTATGTTTTATGTGTACATACGTTAGATTTTGAAGGAGTTCGGAAGGAAGTGGGATAGAAATCCCTTTTTCTATGGGGAGTCGGCTTCTTTGAGGACCGCATCACACGATCTCCAAATAATCATTAATTAACGGTCACTAAATACCGCACATTTCAAAATAGAATCTTTTCCGATCATCTTGATCTGCCTATTCTACATGCTGTGGTATTTCAGTCGTTATTTTGCCATTTTCGATGTTTGGTTGGTAACTATGTATATAAAAAGAACAAGACTAAAAAGTAGCCCTCAGACAAGCCATCAAAGATGGTCAAATGAGTCTGATGGACCATAGATTTAGGAGGAGAGAAAACGACCTGAATTAAAAGATTTGTTTGCCATAAGCCTTCAAATATTTCCTTAAAAAATGATATTATCTATTTTAAAAGACACACTGTTCTGTCATGTCGAACTTCTCTGTCTCTCTGTCTCTGTCTGTCTGTCTCCCTCTCTCTCTTTTTCTCTTTCACTACTCTCTCTCTCTCTCTCTCTCTCTCTCTTCTGTCTGTCTGTCTCCCTCTCTCTCTTTTTCTCTCTCACTACTCTCTCTCTCTCTCTCTCTCTCTCTCTGTCTCTTCTGTCTGTCTCTCTCTCTTTCTTTCTCTTTCGGTCTTTTCTTTCTGATGCTCCAATTTCCCTCTCTTGTTCTTATATTCTGACGGTATCTCTCTTTCTCTTTCTCCCTTTCTTTATATATTTATACTCTTTCTTCCTCTCTCTATTTCTCTTTCTCCTTTTTGACGTTCTTTCTCTATTTTTTGACGCTCTTCCATCTCATTTTTTTCTATTCTCTCTATCTCTCTTTCTCTTTCACCCTTTCTCTCTCACTCCCTTTCTTTATATATTTATACTCTTTCTTCCTCTCTCTATTTCTCTTTCTCTTTTCTGACGCTCGTTCTCTATTTTTTTTTTTTTTTTTTGACGTTCTCTCATTATTTTTTGACACTCTCCCAATCTCACGTTTTCTCACTCTCTCTCTGTCTTTCTGACGATCCGTATCTCTTTTTTTCTGCCCCTCTGCCCCTCTCAACAAATGTACCTAGCATATATTAAATTTTC